AATGTGGAAAGATCTTCCAGATATGTAAGTGTGAAGGGCAAGCACAGAGTGAAATAAACAACACATATGTATAGTCATGTATGCATAAGTTCTCTGAATCTCTGCCCTAGATCCAGTAACAGTGGTTACCTACAGGGAGTAGGGGAAGCAATGGGACTTAAAGATTTTTAAGTTCCTTACAATAGGAAGTATTCCTTCACATACATTTATTACCCTTACTTAAAAATGTTTCGAGTGTGTTACATTAAAGAGCATTTTGTGTTGTTGCGGCATAGTTTTCCTCTCTGGAGCCAGGATAAGCCAAGGAAAAAAAATTGAGCATGGAAAAAAGATGGTGAGTCCCTGGAAAGTACATGAAGCTATTTTCCTGGCAAATCTGTTGGTTCACTGACCAGTAGAAGAGGAAGGGAATGCCCCCAGGTGGCAATTTAGGACTAGTCATATGTGTAAATAAACAGTACAAGAGCTAATGCTGACTGAAAGCTTGCATGTGTCAGACACTGGGCTCAGCCCTTTCCTATTACTGTATCATTTCATTCTACCTATGATGAGGCATGATTATTATCCTCATTTTTCCAAAGAGAAATGGAGACATGGAGCATTACCCAACTTGTGGGGGTACACAGCTTGACAGCAGAGGGGCTGAGATTCAAACCCAGGCGAGAGAGTCTGCATCCCTTTAGAGTCCAGCAGACAGGAGCCACCATGAAGGGGTGGTCCAAGGCACACAAAGGCAGAGGAAGCTCTCAAAACTCTAGCCAGGCCTATTCTTGTAACAGCACCTGCCATTTAATAAAAATTCTACTTTGCTTTCAGCTTATAAGAATCAACATTGTAGACTCCAGTTCATCCCAAAAAATGATGAGCCATCTCATATGGTAGGTAAATTATACAGCTAAAAGGTCAAAGACTGAAATACAGTGTAGTCAAATTCCTTAAAATGGAATGGATTAATCTTGGGCATAAGAGAATTTCAACTCCAAAATAGCTAAGCAACATTCAATGAAAGCCTGTTTCATATGAGAGGATCAGACATATTTTTAAAGATATGTTTTATTGATTATGCTATTACAGTTGTCCTATTTCCCCCCTTCACTTCCCTCCACCCTACACACCCCCTCCCACCCACATTTCCCCCCTTTAGTTCATGTCCTTGGGTCATACATATAAGTTCTTTGGCTTCTAGATTCCCATACTATTCTTAACCTCCCCTGTCTATTTTCTACCTACCATCTATGCTATTTATTCTCTGTATCTTTTCCCCCTCTTTCTCTCTCCCACTCCCTGGTTGACAGCCCTCCAGTGATCTCTATTTCTGTGGTTCTGTCCCTGTTCTAGTTTGCTTAGTTTGCTTTTGTTTTTGTTTTAGGTGTGGTTGTTAATAACTGTGAGTTTGCTGTCATTTTACTGCACATGTTTTTCATCTTCTTTTTCTCAGATAAGTCCCTTTAACATTTCATATAATAAGGGCTTGGTGATGATAAACTCCTTGAACTTGTCCTTATTTCAGAAGCACTTTATCTGCCCTTCCATTCTAAGTGATAGCTTTGCTGGATAGAGCAATCTTGGCTGAGATCCTTGCCTTTCATGACTTGGAATACTTCTTTCTAGCCCCTTCTTGCCTGTAAGGTCTCTTTTGAGAAGTCGGCTGACAGTGTTATGGAAACTTATTTGTAGGTAACTGTCTCCTTTTCTGTTGCTGCTTCTAAGATTCTCTCCTTCTCTTTAATCTTGGGTAATGCAATTATGATGTGCCTTGGTGTGTTCCTCCTTGGGTCCAACTTCTTTGAGACTCTCTGAGCTTCCTGGACTTCCTGGAAGTCTATTGCCTTTGCCAGATTGGGGAAGTTCTCCTTTATTATTTGTTCAAATAACTTTTCCACTTGTTGCTCTTTCTCTTCTCTTTCTGGTACCCCTATCATTCAGATGTTGGAAAGTTTAAAGATGTCCTGAATGTTCCTAAGCCTCTCCTCATTTTTCTGAATACTTGTTTCTTCATTCTTTTCTGAGTGAATGTTTCTTTCTTCTTTCTGCTCCAAATCATTGATTTGAGTCCCAGTTTCCTTCCGATCACTATTGGTTCCCTGTATATTTTCATTTATTTCACTTAGTGTAGCTTTCATTTTTTCATCTAATTTGTGACCGAATTCAACCAGTTCTGTGAGCATCCTGATCACCAGTGTTTTTAACTACACATCTGATAGGTTGGCTATCTCTTTGTCACTTAGTTGTATTTTTTCTGGCGCTTTGAACTGTTTTTTCGTTTGGGCCATTTATTTTGTTTTCACATGCCTGTTATGTAGTGAGGGGTGGAGGCTCAGGTGTTCATCAGGGTGGGCCAACCCAGTCACTGGGTTGTGACGCTGTATGCTGGGCAGCAGTCCAAGAGGGAACAATAGCATTTGCTCTGTTCTCTGCCAGATTTCAGTCACTTGCCCCACTTTCCACAAGCAAATTGGGCCCTTTTGGTGCTGATTCCCATGTGGGTGGGTTTGTGTACATTCTAGGACATTGTGGGTCTCTCCAATTAACTCTCCTGTGAGGCTGGGAGTCTCACACCCGCACAGGTGTTTTCAATCAGTGGTTTGAGGCTTTATTTTCCCGATCTGGGACCCTGGGTTGTGTGGCTTGTCCTGCTTTGCTGCGAGCCCTTTCTGCCCAACTGCCCATTCTGCCCCTCCTACCGGTCTAGATGAATGTGTCTTCTTTAATTAACTCTTTGGTTGTTGGACTTCCATACAGTTCAGTTTTCTGTCAGCTCTCGTTGCTTATTGTTTTTAAATTGTTGTTATCCTTCTTTTGGTTGTGGGAGGAAGCACAGTGTGTCTAGCTATGCCTCCATCTTGGTGGGAAGTTGATCAGACACTTTTTGAAAAACATCTCTGTGTTGCCACATACCAGGAAGTTAAGTTAAGCTACTAATGGTTTGTTTTTCCAAGTTTTTAGTTATATCTAGGATATCCTTTTTTAAGATTTTCAGAAGAGAGTATGGGATGTGAAGGTCAAACTGAGCTGGGTTTGGTTCCTGGCTCTAATATTCTAGAACTAGCTGTATAGCTTTGAAAAAGTACAACCTTGAAAAAGTACAACCTTGAGAAAATTACTAAGTACTACTTGGTCTCAGCATCCCCATCTAAAAATTGGTAATAATAACTACCTCTGTCAGAGCAGTAAAATTAAATGGGAAAAGAAAATGATTCCACCTCTGTGTCACCTGCAACATAAACAGCTCAAATGAGTTCATTTTCCTTTTTTCCCAGACCAGCTGCTGTCCAGGTCACATTCTTTTCTCTTTCAGACCAATACTCTCTGGCTTCGCACAACCACTCTTAGTCTTAACATCTCCCAAGATGCAAATGGATGGTTTTTTATACTGAGGGACTCAACCTCCTCAGGTGAGCATAGTAACTGATTCCAGAAAAGGACTACTCATTTTCTGCTAACCAAAGAGGATTCACATTTGTTTTGTCCTCAGCCACTTGGATTTTTAACTAGATTCACAGCTATAAGACCACATGTTGGTAGCATTCCTCCCTCCCCTCCCCTCCCCTCCCCTCACTCCTAGTCCTTAATGAAGCATCTTGCTTTGGGCATTCTGATATCCCCTTCCCAGCCCCTCAACCAAAAGGATACTAAGACGACTGATAATTAGCAATGCTCAAAGGAAATATTCCTGAGTTCACAATCAGAAATTTGATTAATGTCTAAACAATGTCCATTATATATTCACAATTTGGAAAGCAGCACACCTAAGATTCATCATCACTTAACTGTTAGCCACTGCCTGGAACAGGGGCTGTTCTCATATCAAGGCCATTTCCCTAATAAAATAATAGTCAACTTTGTATTTACCATTTGTTTTTAAAGTCAGTCTTGAAAATGTCCCTGTAATCATCCAATAAATCCTATGTCCAGCTTTCATAAAGAGATATGATAATAATTGGACTAAGTTAATAATTTGACCTAGGTAATAGTATCACATTATATCCTTCTGTCTCAACTAATAACACCCAACAGAGCAATCAAGCTATAATACTGTTTCATAAAATGTAAGTTTAATTTTTTCCCCACAGCTGGCTTTGACCTTGCAATCTCATTTGTGGTATCTTATTCTATAGATCTATTTTCACTTGTGTGAAATGATCCATGTCCATGTTATTCAATGCAATAGTATTTTAGAATATTAAAAATATTTCTCCAACAGGATCGAGTTAAATAAATGATAATATGCCCATACAAAAAGATTATACAACCACTGAAAAAGAAAACAAGAAGTGATCTATTACCGAATTGCAAAGATCTGTAAGACATACTATTGAATAAAACAGCAAGGTTCCAAATGCCATGTATATATTATATACTACCTGTTGGGTAAACAGGAAAGAAATATGAACACACAGGTAAAACACCTATGTGTATGTACACACACACATCTGTATTTAAAAAGAAATTTCAGAACAATAATCAGAAACTAGTAACATTGGTTGTAATACTGGGGGGAAAAAGAACTGGAAATTAGGCAAGTGGAAAACAGGCATAGGGAAAAGATTAGTTATTGAATATTTTTGAAATAGTTTGCTTTATGAACCATGCAAATGTATTATCTACTCAAAAAATCCATTAAAAATCAATTAGTGGTAAAAATGGCATTTCATTCCTTCAAGGTTAAAACAACACTACCAATAAGGTCATAGTTTGGGGCTGATCATGATTCTTGTTCATCTTTCTAATACTATACATGCTCATATGAAAAAACAAAACACATATATTTAAAATAATAAATTAAATCAGAAACTCACAGAAGAAAAAAACCCCAAAACTACTTTTAAAGAGCTAAACAAAGTTTTGTTTCATGCATTTTAATACTCACTTTAAGGTGAACTGCAAAATTAGTTGTTTAGACCTCACTAGTCCACAAAGCATTTCTGCCTAGATAGCACTGGATCTGCTGAAGTGCCAGGAGAGAGATGTCCTAGTCACTGCCACACACGTAAGCTCACCTTCATAGGTGCCGACTTCCAGAAGAGTCCCACTCTGCTCGAGGTCCAGGAACTCCTTCACAGTCAGAAAGTTGTAGTCCACGCCAGGCACTTCTCCTTCCCTCCGAGACCGGGTTGTGCCTACAGCAGAACGTCACAGACACAAGAAACCATCAGTCACCTAAAACAGGAAGCTCCACATCCAGGTGTAATTAAAATAACCTGTTGAGTAAGCTGGAGTACTGAAGACTCTGAGACTGATCTGCCCAGACAGGGACCTGGTGAAGACAATGTCTAACAGAATGACATCCTCACCTCCACCAGCCAGTGCCTGAGACTCTCAAATAGGACAGGAGAAAACCAAGCACAGTATGGTAACCCAAGGAGAGTTTTATCCTTTCAAAAATGCACTGAGTGAAGAATGTGAACTGGATTTTATACAACATTCACCATCAGCAGCTTTGAGGACTCTGGTAAGTACTAAAAAGTTATCCACCTTAAGCTCAAAGCCTAAGGAATTTATATTTTTATCACAGTCTTCGAGATTCTTGTGTTCCTCAGTACATCTGGCAAGTTCCAATGTAATAAGCCCTTTGATGAAAATGACACCCATTGCATAAACACATCACTAGGGAAATGCGATTGCCCAAGATCTGTGGTTGGTATCTCCTGGGGACTAAATAATGCTGCTGCTCTCCATGTAATTAATATGTTGGGTAAAAAGTGGCCACCCATAGTTTTGACTACAGAGAAAGGATACTGCATTTTCCTAGAAAATTCTCCCCTTGAATTAAGCTGGTTATTCTGGCAATGACTAATAAATAGAACAATCCCTTTTATGAAATAATAAATAGAGAGCTTCTAGAAAATGTTAAGTGACCCAGCTCAGGTGCTAGGCATAGACCTATCATTTTAGTTCAGTCTCAACTGAAAGTGTGGAAGCGATGTGGAGTTGTGTGGTTTACACAGAAACCAAGAAAAGAAAATAACCAAGAAGCAATTATGTACAGCATACAAGGAAATCTATGTTAAATATTATGAAAGACCAACCCCCCCCCGAAAAAAACCCCACAGAACAGCAAAATACATGATTTTTACTTCCATGTTCAAGCTAGGGGATATAATTGACGTAGTTTCTTTTGAAAGGCACCTTCACCTATGCAGCTTTAAGGTCAATATTTTTGTATACGGAAGGCAGGAATTTCCTTCTATTCCTAGGAATTTTAAAGCAATTAAATAACCAACTGTATATACCTAGTTACTCTAATGTTCCTAGTACAGTGCAGTCTCTGATCACTTACCTATATGACTGATCATATCCACACACCTAAGGTAGATACCCATAACTTTAAGTAAAAAAAAAAACAACACATTTTGCATATTTTACTCAAGATAAGTACATTTTTAAATGAGCCCATTTTTTCTAACATCTAAAATCTGGGTATTTTCAATAGTGGCAAATTTTCCATAGAATGGTTATATCACAAATGTTTTGCTTATCACATCTAGCACACTGGGGCTGTCTGGTAACACGGCCTGCTTGTGCAGTACTCAGAATTCCACTCTTGTACTGTTTCCTAGCTTGTCTCCATTTCTGACTTCCCTGGCATGCAATGACAAAGAAATCCCTTAAGGTAGCTCACAACTTTTCAACTTCCAGGATCAGGCACATTAGTAGGAACTCCAGAAACATAAAGAGTATCATGTGGTGTAGACTAGCAGGGGTTTGGAGTATGAGCAAAGGGTTCATGGTCTGGCTCCCCAACTTGTGGTCTTGGGTAAGTTCCTTAGCTTCTGTTACTTCTCAGTTTCCCCACCTGCAGAATAGGGATCATAATGGGACCCCCACCACCGGTTTACTGTGTGTATTGCATGGAATAATCCTTTTAGAGGACTTATCTCAATAATCATTAGCAGATATTATAGTTTATAAACAGTAACATTGTTTATGTTATTGTTGGAATTAAATGAGTTAGTAGAATCTTCGAGTTCAAAGGATTTATATATTCATCCTTACACAGATCTTTATTTTCCATTTATTTAATAATTATTTTCTGAGGTTCCAATAGATGTCAGACACTAATTCTGGCACTGAGAAACACTCATGAAACAACATAAAGCCCCTACCCTAATAGAATTTATATTTTACTGTGAAAGATTGAAAATAGATAGATATGGAAATACACATAGCATTTAATTTCAACTGGAAATAATTCTTTTGTAGAAAATATAGGTTAAAGTATTAGAAAGTGTTTCAGAGCAACATAGATTAAAGGGCTGGAAAGTGTCTTGGAAGAATGAAAGAAGGTGGAGAGTAGAGAAGCGACTTTAGAGAGATGATTAGGAAAATCCTGGCTAGGGAGGTGCCATCAAAATTGAAAGCCCTGTAAAGGTGATGGGAAGACCATCCCAGGAGGGAGTTAAGGCCCAGAGAAACTGCAGCCCAGCAATGGAAAAGAGGGTAATTAGAAAGGAAAGCCAGGGTCCAGGTTGTGCAGGCCACAGAAAGCACTTCCTATTTTATTCCAAGTGTGATGGGAAGCCACTAGAACAACGGTGTCCAACCTTTTGGCATCTCTGTGCCACACTGGAATAAGAGTTGTCTTGGGCCACACATTAAATACATTGTGACACATAATCATACACACAAAAAAATCTCATAATGTTTTCAGTAAATTTATGATTTTGTGTTGGGTTGCATTCATAGCCATCCTGAGCTGCACACAGCCCATAGGCTGCAGGTTGGACACCCCTGCACTGGAGGATTTTGAGCAGGGTGATGCCACAATTCATTTTTAAAAGATCACCTGGCTTTACAGAGAACAGTCTACGGGCAGAGTGGCAGGGGCATGCAGCCAAGAACAGAAGCAACTAGGCCAGTTAGCTGCTCTTACAGTGTCCAGGAGAGAAATCAGGGCAAGGACAAGAACAGTGGAAAGAGGGTGACACAAAGCACTCAGATTTCTATCATAAATTACCGAGTATCTTAAACAGCAGTAATGTAGTCCACAGCACAGACATGTTAAAAGTGCATCAACTCATTAGGCTATGCTAGGTCTGTATCTTTGACAGAACTTGCTGATGGAGTGGATACGGTGTGTAAGAAAAACGGAAGAATAAAGACTAACATCTAAATTTTGGTCTGGACAAATGGGCACTGCCATTTATAAAAATTAAGAAAATGGGAGAAATGATTTTTAGGGGAAAAGACTTAAGTGAACTCTTAGATAAAGTTCGAGATGCTTGTTGAGGTGTAGAGCGCTGTAGACAGTTGATTTTATAAATCTGAAAATCAGACTGAAGGTAGGGACATAAACTTGGGAGTGATCAGTAAACCAATGGTACTTAAAGCAAGAGACAAAACTAGCCAATTTAGGGGCAGAGAGTGTAGAAACAAGGAAGCCAAAAAATTCGGGTTGAACACTAAAACCTTATGATATGTAAAAACTGGGCAAAGAAGGGAGATCCTCAATGGAAGACTCAGAGGCAGCAGTCCGCAAGTTAGGAGCAAAGCATGGGAGTGTGATGTCTTGGAATCAAGTGGAAAGGCTGTTCAGCCGGCTACTTGGAAAACATCACATTGGGAAATTCCAGTGCGATGCAAGAATAGTCTCTTTGAAACTTGCTGTGAAAGGAAGGATCTGTCCTAAATAGGTTCTGTATGTTGCCATTAACTTTACCCACCCACCCCTACTACACTCCCACCTAATAATGAGCATGAACAAAACCAAACAAAAGATTTGTTGGGTTTTTTAAGTCTTACCAAACTAGACAATCACCCTTGAGTCTTAATTTCCTGAAAGGATTCAAAATAAGGGCAAACTTCAAAAAATGCTACAGAAAAATGAAACTAGCAGATACCATTTTCCCATGTAAATGAATATGCATGGATGGCCTCTGGGGTGGGGGGAGGGGGTGGGCATGTCTCCGCCCACAAAACCTTCAGGGTTTATTACCGGACAAAACCTTCCCGCTCTGCAGGCTTGTAGGAGGTTTACTCCCAGTTACCCTCTGAGCAACACGCCCTGGGTCTGGGCCAGCCTGCCTGGGCTCCATTCAGTGATGTGAGAGAGGAAGGAGACTCTGCCTCCTCTTTTCTTCTAGCAGAATGACAGGCTGCCTGCTGGACACACGCCTGGCAGATGGCATTTCAAAGGGTTTTCAGAAGCCATCTGGGGTGGGTACAATTATTACAAACCATGCTTCTAACAAAGCCAGAAGGGTTACTTCCTGGCAGAAGAGATGTAAAACAAATTCTATCATGTTTTTCAGGGACAGCATATTTAAAAAAAAATCACCAGGCTGGCAAACTGGTTTTTTTCTACATCCTACAACACTGCCTTCTGCTCATCTAGCTAGAAATTGGCCCAATATCTTGTTCGTTATTAGCTTTAAGTAAATAAATACAGTGTCCACCTCCCATGTTCAAAAAGAAAATGGAAAGGGATTATCAAATACTAAGAAAAGCATAGAAACTTCCATTTATTGGATATTTCCTTATGTTAGTTACTATTAGGTAAGGTGTTAAGCACTAAAGACTATTGTATATAACTTTCACAAGAAAGGCAGAAGTAAGGATAGCTATTACACTCATTTTATTGATGAGGGAGCTAGGAGTCAGAGAAGCAACCTGCCCAAGGTCACATAACAAACAAGCTGGGCAGCATAATGATTTGAACACAGACATTCTCTTTGGCATTCCTCCTTCCAAACCATCACTGTCCAAAGGAACTTTATGCTGTCATAGAAATGGTCCATATCTGTGCTTTCTAACATGGTAGCTGCTAGTCACATGTGGTTATGGATAAATGCAATTGTGACGGAGAAACTAAATTTTAAGAAGTTTGAATTTAAAGACCCACATGTGCCTGGGGGACAACTGGATCGGTCAGTGAAGATTTTAAACCACATGGGTAAGTTGCCTGCACTGTACTGGGTCTGGTTCATGTCCCACAAAGCCCTTCTGTTTTCAAAATAATAGCAAGGGTCATACTTACAACATTAAATAGCAGACGTCTTGTACTCACACAGGAAAGTTTTCTTTTTAAAAACTCATATACTTTGAAAAATGATCTAGTCTAACTGTTTTGTACTAAAAATTCTACTTGGTTCCTATTGGCTCTGGTCTCTTAGAAATAAAA